TTGCCAGTAATAAATAATAATCAAGCCTAAGGTAAATTACTTTGTTGGGGGTTTACGTTTGAAAACGTGACTTTGAATTCTCTCGCTAATGTAAGAGAGCATAGAATCGACTATCGTGGAACGGAACCTGTACCGTTTGATACATGTTACACGATGATCCGCGAGTCTTGTTGATGTCGAGATTCCTCGAACATCCCACGGACAACGAGCCCTGTGGCGTTTAGTGCGTCGCGTCATTTAATGAGCACTCGATACTTTTGAAATTAATCTGGCTCCGCACTGATGTTTAAGTAATGGCTATCAGAGCCTCTTCCGCTGCGACATATCTTGTTTCGCCTTTCCTCATAACGCGGGGAGTTGCCATCTTAAATTCGCAAGATGAATTGCGTGAATTCGCATCGCTACTTTCGTTCTATTGTCTCTTGCATCCTCAAGAGATGTGTCGAGGATCTCCGAAATCTTCACAACTCGCTGCACCGGCGCGAACATGTCTTTCGGACGGGGCAGCTTTCAAAATGTCGTTTGATGGCTTACTCTTTATCGGAATTGAGAAAATAAGGCAACGGCGATATTTTTTACCAAATACTATTAAGAGATTTCGAAACGCTACTTTAGATGAAAGTAAAATAGTTGTACGAATTGTGAAGCTTATTTTAATTTAATTGGCAGCTAATTTCAAGATTGTTCCTTAGAGCACGATGGTCGAAAGTTAGACGGCGGCTGACTTAGTCCAAGACAGACTGCTGGACCGCCAACCTTACGGATTCCTTTATTTCGTTTCTTTGGAAGTCAAGAAATACGGGAGGAAAAGAGAGTGAAGGAATCCGGTAGGGACAGGAAAAAGGCGACGAAATATGCCACGTACACTTTGTTAGATGAAGAAACGTATATATTCGCAGCTTCGACTTATTATATGAAGGCGCATCTAAACGCGCACCTACGAACACATCTGCAGACGACGTAATTCGTTTGCCTTGCGTCAGAATCGCAATATTACGTTACGCCAGACGCAACGAGACCAACGATATCGCTACAATAGCGCGCGCGCGTGTCAGAGCACAAGCAACGTAATAGCTTACGATAAAGACGCAAGCGTAAAGCGGGGAGCACACACGTTTGCATAAGTGCACAAGCATGTGCATAACGAATTTGATGGATCTATAAGCAAATGCATAAGGAAATGGACCAATCAAATTCGTTATGCATATGCTTGTGCGCTTATGCAAAAGTGTGTGGTCCCCGCTTAAACGTAGATAGCGCACAAGCTTTGGCGTATGTCGTATTTACCTCCAATTATATGTGGCGTTACTTTTACGCCAGAGCTCGTGCGCCGTCTACGTTTACGCTTGCGTCTTTGTCGTAAGCTATTACGTTACTTTGTGCTCTGTCCCTAAAGGCCATTCTACAATTGCGTGAACGTGGTTGTCAGCGGTTGCACAGTGTTGTAAAACACAGTTTTAAATTAGCACTTCCGACTGTAAAGCCTGTTGTAAAAGATGGCTGAACTTCATCTTTCACGACTACAACGACGTAGGACGTAAAAATTAACCAACCATTCACTTCAATTACGACGTATCTCACTCTATTGTATATTACTTTAATATACAACACTTACTACCACTTCTACTCCTACAACCCTACAACTACGTTTACGCAATTGTAGAATGGCTTTATGCGTGG